TTCTTGAATACCGGGTAATTAAATGCATGAGGGGCTGTATCCTCGGGCAAGGGAGGGTAGAGGGTCTTGGTGTCTGGCCTACTAATCGGGGGCTCGTCCCTAGATGTCTGGAGCTCAGCCAAGGGGTCCTGAGGGGGCATATTAATACAAACCGAGGGGCAAGGGGAAGGGCATGTTGGTCCCTCAGGATTATTAGGAGAAGCTGACCCTTCGGCCGCCTCTAAAGACGTTCTTGAAGTGGACCGCGACACGGGTCGGAGGCAGAATTCTGCTACCGAGAGCAGCTGCTTTTTATTGGGGTCTGAATCTGCTCCTTCAACAATATCTCTAATTAGTCCCCAGTACGAGAAAATGGATACAGGGACGGCATCTGGGCCCTGATTCAGAAGTAAATTGTTTAAATCTCTGCCTACTTTTTGCCACTTGCGTGGGTGAATTTCAGGTCCACCAACAATAAACCAGGGACAAGCTCGGTCAATGAACACAAAAAACTTTACTAGGTCCTTTTTCTTAGCTCTAATTCCTCTCTCTCTGAGTGAGGCCTTGAGATCCTTAATGAAAACGGCCTCTTTAGACAAAGAATGGCCCATCTCGATGGAGTGACAATGTAAAAAATTTACTCACCAGACCGTCGATTCTGTGAGCGGCAGACGAGGGTCTCTGTAGGGTTTTCTTTGGCCGAAGAGCGTACCTCAGCGTGACCCGACAAAGGTCCGTATCTCGGGCCCCACGTTGGGCGCCACTTGTCCCGGCCCGCGGGACCTTCTGTTACTCGTGGGGTCAAGGGGGACCGTGCCTGAAAGAGATGGGCGAGAGAAAGGAACGAGACCAAGCAAAGGGTTGTCAAGGTCTACTTTACTTAGATTCTTAGTAGGTTTTATAAGCATACAGAAACAAGGAAGTAGAAACAGAAAAATAGAGTGGGGTAATGATGAGGCTTGGGTTTGGGCTAATCAGCCCCAGTCAGCGTCTTATCGGTATCGAAGCTGTTTGTGACTGATTACTCAACCCCAACCTGGCAGGTGGTCGGGAATAATTGCAGTCAGCACACCCTGGAGCATTTCGCAGTCAGCACGTCATGGAACGCATTCTTTTCGGAGCTATAGCTGGAGGGTGGGGTGCTGTTTTTGTCCTAGGAATTTTCCAGGGCGAGGCCCATGTGTAGGACAAGTCATAGGGGTGTTGAGGGTCTTAGCTTCTAACAATCTATCACCTAAAATATCTATACAAAGACATACAAAGAAATAGAAAAAGAGCACCCACAAACAGAAACAACACACACAAGAGAAAAGAACACCAAAAAGAAGACCCAGAGATCAAAGTCAAGGGAAAAAATATGCCAGAAACGAAGTAGAAAGAAACCAAAACAACCAAAGAAAACCACAAAGAATGAAACAAAGAAAGGAACAACAACAATACCGCAACAAAGACACAACACCAGCAAAGAGCTAGAAATCAGATAAAAGAAACAAAGAGAAAACCAAAATGCGCGACTCCAAAACCACAAGAACCAAAAGCAGAACATCACTAAAACAAGGCAACAGAAAATTAGAACTGAAAGGAAAAAAAAGCAAAAAACTTGAAGATGAATTAATAGAGATCATATGGCTGAAGAATGGAGAGAAAAAATAATGAATAAAAATAAAGAGACCCCCACAAAAACAAACCAAAAAAAATAAGGAACACAAAGGAAGACAAAAGAAAAAAAAGCCAGGACAAAAAAAAAAACAACAAAAAGACCGAAAAAAAAACGAACAAAGAGAAAAAGCCAAAAGCAGCAAGAAAAAAAAGACTCACACAAAACCACACCCCAATAACATCAACAGCTGCTATCTCATAAGAAACAACGAACACCAGCAAACATATCAGCTAACACACCGCTTCTACCGGAGAACAAGCAACAATCTCCGCAAAGAGCACACAACAAACACCCCCATGCAACGAACACTAAGCCCAGGCAAATTCTACATGAAAAAACAAATTTGAAAAACGAAGCGAGGAACAAAAGCACAGAACTTAGCCCCGACGCCACATCACAAAAATCAGGACAAATGGCAGCAGAAAAAGGAAAGAAAAGCTGATCACAGGGCACAAAAAAGACGAGGACGGATAAACCCACCGAAAAAACAAGCACCAGAACAACAACCAGAAATACAGAGCTGATAAACGCTCGATTCTCACCGGCAAGCAAGGGCCCGCCAACCAAAAATGAGAACAATAAACAACCAACATGTACAGAAAACAAGCCGAAAAACACCACCAACAAACAACATCCACCAGGCCCAACAAACGCAGCACCGACAACACAAAGAACAAAACACAAAAAACAACCAAAACAAGAAGGGATACAGGCCTGAATACACAAAAAGGAGGAGAGAACAGTAAAAAAAGAAAAGAATATTGCCACTAAGGGGACACCAGGCACCATGCTACAGACAACAAACCAAAAACATAGCCCTGCCACATCGATGAGGGACAGGCCAGTAGGGGGACCAAACCCCCACACGACTATACTGGAAACGTCACAAAAAAAGGAATCACCAAAGGGAGCGACACCGTCAAAGAACGGAAGCCGAAGAGAACAGAAAACCAAACAAACATGATATCAGGAAATGGCACAGTCACAGAAGCACCTGAAAAAGATCACGACAAAGGCAAGAATAAAAACTCCAGAACACAGCCCCACCGCGAACAGAAGAAGACCAGAAAGGGAGCTGCTAAAAGAAGAAAAAGACACAACCAAGAAGGACAGAAGGCCCAAAAAGGAACCCCAAGCCCACCAACACCGCAGCTGGCAGCAACCCACCAGCACGGCCGCAGGACCTCAAGCCAAGCAAAGAACTAAGGAAAGCCCAAACCCAAAACCAATCACCCGCCAAAATACGGAAAAAACGAGAACACACACTGTTCGCAAAACCTAACCCTGCAGGACAGGCGTGCAGGAAATACTCAACATTCGAAGCTCCGAGACGGGCCCAAACAAGAAAAAAAACGGAGAAGGAAAGCAAAACCTCCGCAGGCATCTAGGTGCAATGGGATCCACAAAAAGCAAACCCCAAAGGAAATAACCATCTTAAAGTAGCAGGGGCAAAGAGCGACGGGCGAAGGCAAACCAAGCTCGAAAACCCCAAGCAGAACCACTGCGTCATGGTAATGGAGATCTAACCTTCCATGGAATCAGAGATTTTTCCAGCTCAAGGGAATTTTAGAAATCTTCCAAATGAGGCCTTTGTCTCCAAATCACAGTGATAATTACTGGCAAAATCATAACTTCAACTCAGGTCTTCTGACTTGAAGCCCCGTGCTTTGTATATCCATAACACTGTCTATCCATAACATCTGGCTTTCTAGATGGACTCCTGCAGTACCAAGTACCATTCCTGATACCTAGTAGTGTCATAATTGTTGAATGAATAAACAAATAACAGCTACTCTATTGCCCAATTCTTGCTTTCCCCCTGGAATAGCAGGAATGAAGAAAGCAAACCAGCAGGATGTACGTGGGGTTTCTAAGCAGCATTATCAGCACGAGTGAATGACCTTTGGAACTTGTGCCACTCAAGTCATTCAATCAAGTGGAAATTCAATCTATGAAAAATTTGTCGACCTACAGGCAAAAACTGAGCCAAACTTAATATAAGTAAGGAGTTTATGTGGACCAAACTTGAGGATTGCAACATGAGAGCATAGATTCCAGTTGCGCAGAATATACACACCACTTAGCAGCAGTTACAAGTAGATTTTTTAAAAATAAAAGTCTGTTCTTAAGTTGTTTACCAAGAATTTACATTAAAATAACATAAGCTATTGATTGACTATATATTGTTCTTTGCATAGCAAATTCCAGGATCTTGAAGATAATGGGTGAGGCAGCTAGCCAGGAACAAAATGCCTTTAAACAACGGCCCTTAGGCATGGAGGGTGGGAAAGGCACTGACCAAAGTCCCATACTCCTGTCTCTCTGGGCATAGTAAATTTTGCATACCTCACATAGCTCAGACTGCTCTGAACTGTTTTTCTGTTCTCAAACTACTACAGTCTATTCTTAGCACTATTGTTAAAGGATACCAATATCTCAGATTCAGCTGGTAGAAAATACTAACTCTGGTCTATTGTATAAGGAATATCGCATATGATGGTGAAGACCTTTAGTGTTTTCCCCTGAACAGTTTTCTTTAGTACAGAGCATTGACACCCAGGCATAAGGAAGACAAGCTCGTTCTCTGGTTCTCTGTGATCTTTTGCGATTTCTTTCCAATCTCCATCCTACCACCAGCATGTGATATATTTAAATGCAACTTGAGAAGTGTTTTAGCCAAGAGCATATAGCTAGTAAGTGGTGAAGCCAAGACCACAGCCTGTGATTTTGGATTCAAATACTTTGCCATCCATTTATCACACTTTTGATCATATTGGGAGCCTCTGTTGGCCCCTCTTTCTTGCTGCAGCCATATGTTTTAGAGCTTCATTGTACAATACAGTAGCTGCTAGCCTTGTGTGGTTATCTATTTAAATTAATTAAAATTAAATAAAATTAAAAATTTAGTTCCTCAGCCATACTAATCCTGGTCTAAGCACACACGAGCCACATGTGGGTGGTGACTACCATATTGAACAACACAGATATAGAACATTTCCATCATTGCAGAAAATTCTACTTAACAACACTGCCTTAGAGATAGATTTCCTTTTTTTGTCTAAGATTACTAGGGTCAGAAAGTCTGACAGAATCTTTCTTCTCTCCAAATGGCAAACGAGGCCAATAGACAGTTGAGAGACTACAAGCTATTCGTCACCTATCTATTCCATACTTTCTAAATGCTTAAATGGGATTGATAGGGTATAGCTACTCATCTCCGGAATGAGCAAATCTGAAACAAGCTACTTAGTAAGCAATGATTAATCTGTTGTCATATCAAGGTCCTTGAACATATTATATAAATAAATATAAAGTACAAATTTCTCTATCCTACTCTGATCTATTATAGGATAATACATTTCTTGGGATTTAGAAGAACATGGTGTTTCATTCTGAGGTTTGTGATTCATTAAGAACACATTCTTCAATGACATTTCCACAGATCATCATTCTCCAAGCAGAAACTATCTTCCTAGGTCTCTGGGCCCACTCTCTTCCAGATTAAAGGCTTCTGGGAAAAGAACTAAACATTTCAATCCTAACAGGAAGTAAAGCTCTCCAGTTAAAAATTTGTAGCAGATATTCAAATTGGGAAATGATGACTATGGTGTGAAATAAATCTTCTTTATTGGACAGAATATACAAATGAAAGATTATATTGTTAGCTATATATCACAGGTGAATTATTCTACCAGAAGAAAAGATAACTTGCTTTGCTTTGTTGTATGTAAAATAACAACAACAACAAAAAAGTAACAAATAGCACACAGGGTGACCATTTCTTTTTGGTTTGACAGAAATAGTTTATATTTGCAAACATTCCCCATTCACTTGTTTAAAATAATTGGAAAAAAGTACACAATTTTCACAGAATTGGGGAAGGAAAGGGGGTCAGTTTGCAGCTCTAGTGCTCCCATATTGGGTGGGTAATTTGGTATCAGGAGGTAGCCATGGCGACCATAAAACTTACTCATGTGACTAACGATGCAACTAATGATGCCCACAATTACTTAATTGCAGGCATGCTTAACAGCTTTTGCCATTTTTGGAGGGTGCTTTATGGCTAATTGTGGCTGCAAGTGGGTAAGTACAGGTGCAATTGAATGTGTTCCTAATTTTTACATTTGTGTGATAGCAGGAGAATAAATGGACCCTTCTAAAATGGGGAGTTATAAAAGGAGGGCCGAAATTAGTTCCTGTGAATCCAGTGATAATAGAATAGTCTCCAAACCCAAGTCATTCCATGTTTAAGCAGAGGAAAGTTCTGGATTATCAGTTGTCCTGGTGCCAGACCCCAGCCCCACCTGTGTAGTAACTCCTTTCCCCTTAGGTTCTCCCACTTGGATTCTTGCCACTGCTGCTACCAAAGGGGGACTTTTACTTTCTCTTTATAACTCTACAATTTCGGTCCCATTATGGAATAGAATTTTTTAAATGTTACATTGTATTTGTAAATATTTTAAAAACATGATATAATATCTCTGTTCAAGTGAATTCTATTATATACCCTGGGACAGGTAGTTAGCTTTTGAAGTTCTCTCATCAGGAATTAACACTCCAAAGATGGCTACATAGCACTTAAGAATTCTTATCAAAATCTCTCCTGAGGGTTTTTAATTAATATAAGGAACATTGGAAATATTTGGGGTTTTTTTGAGACAGAATCTCCCTCTGTTTCCTAGGCTAGAATGCAGTGGCACCATTATCATCATCATAGCTCACTGCAACCTCAAACTCCTGGGCTCAACTGATCCTCCTGCCTCAGCCTCCCTAGTAGCTGGGACTATAGGCATGCTCCACCATGCCTGGCTAATTTTTCTATCTTTCATAGAGACAAGATCTTGCTCTTGCTCAAGCTGGTCTCAAGCTCCTGACCTTAAAGGATCCTCCTACCTCAGCCTCCCAGAGTGCTAGGATTACAGGTGTGAGCCACCACACCTGCTACCAACCCACCTGTAACTACTAGAGTCTACTGATATTTACCCAAAAACTAGCAGTTGCTGAGTGGCCAAATTAGCTTGGGTCAGTTCAGAACATCTTGGTTTCCATAAAATACCTCCCAAATGCTTACATTTCCAAAAACAATGACGTAAAAAGTAAGGTGTCTTACTCTGAGCTGCTATAACAAAATACCTTAGACAGGATAATTTATAAACAACAGAAATGTATTGCTCACAGTTCTGGAGGCTGGGATGTCTAAGATCAAGATGCCAGCGGAACAGTGTCTAATGTGGATATTCTGCTTCATAGATGGCACCTTCTTGCTGTGTCCTCGCCTGGTGGAAGGGGCAAGCGAACTCCCTCAGGCTTCCTTTATGAGGGCACTAATCCCATGCATGAGGTCAGAGCCCTCATGACCCAATCCCCTCCCAAATGCTGCACCTCTTAACACCACCACATCTGCGATTAAGTTTTAACATATTAATTTTTAGTAGGGACAAAAACATCCAGACCATAGCACAAGGATACAAAGGAAATATGTCATGACTGAACGGGCTAAATGCAAAGAAATGGGCATATTTCCTAGAACTAGAAAACCACCTCTATCCAAGGGGCTGGTCTCTCTTCGCCCACACCTTGCCTAGCCTCTGGCCCTCCTAGACCCCGCCTTTCTCCAGGTGTCGTGTATCCTCTTTTCCCTGTCTCATAAGAGATGCTGGTTAATCACCCAAACTACACTGTATTCCGCAAACAGTATTGCATCCCCACCATGTGTGCTGCACACTGCTCTGGGCACGGTGGTGACTCAGTGGGATGACTAGCACAGGCTCCTTGCCCGAGGGATGGCTTCCTGTGAGTAAGCCCTGTGCTCTACTAATTGTCAACTCGTCTTGTTTGGGGCCTGAGGGACGAGCTTTATCCACAGCCAAATGGCAAACTGTGAGGACTTGCAAGTAATGAGGTGGAAAAAATGTTGGTGACCAGAACCCTCTGAGGGAGAGCTCTTTATGTGATTAGGAGAAATACTTTGAAGTGACATTTGGGGTGGAAGGTGAAGTCTCAAGGGCCTTCTCCATCAAGAAATGGTATTTGCTAAATTGCTTTGCATGACACAAAGAGAGGAATTATATTGCTCCTGAGAGAGTGCGGGGTGTGTGTGGGGGAGGGCAGAGAGATGGGCGGCAGGGAGATGGAGAGCAACCACACAACCACAACACAACAGCAGAAAGGTGCCTGTTGCACAAGGGCCCCTTTGTGGCGATGCACGAATCACTGGGAAAATATACTAAATTAATGGAATGTTTAGCATGCATGATTATCTGTGGAGATTGGTGAAGAGGTTGAGTTTGATATCTGGACTGAAGCTGAGCATTACTGCTGGAAGTTTTTTTTTTTTTTTTTTTTTTTTTTGCATAAGTCAGTCTGGCAATCTGGTGCTTTGGCATTCTCTCTCTCTCTCTCTCTCTCTCTCTGGCTTGCTCGCTCACACTCACACACTCACTCACCCACCTCACATTGTGATAGAGAAGAAGCACTGGGTGGAAGTAGGTAAAAAGAGGATTATACTATCACTCTGTGACATGACAGGCAGGCTGAGGGGACCAGCAGGCTTGCAGAAATGGGCACAGTGCCCAGGGCTTGGGCAGCCACAAGTCAGAGGATGGTTAGACAATGGAAATCAACAGTTTATAAAGGCTGGAGGACAAGGCCTCAGGGATTGTTTGAAGTCCAGGCAAACAATCACCATTCAGGGTGTTTGCATGTGCTGTGGGATTTGAGTGAGGCAGAGGATCAAATGGTTGAACAATTTGCTCAACTCGGGGATGTACCTGACCCAGTGCTGGAGATTCCAAAGGGATTAAGACGCTGTCCACTGCCTTGCTCCAGGAAAGAGAGAGAACGTTAGAATATAGTCATAAAATTATGGCAGTAGGAAGCTCAGAAGAAGCTGGCAGGTTAGGAAAGTCTTGTACAAGGAAGTGATCCTTGCTATGTATGAGCTTTGACAGATAAGGAAGAGTTAGGAAGATGTGTGAAGAAAGGTATTTCTGGGCAGAGGGATGAGCTTGTGTGAAGGGGCAGAGGCATGAGAGTACAGGGGAACCGAGGTAGGAGATGAGGCTCCCAAAGATCAAAATGTCTGTGCTTGTCGTTTCAGGAGTCTGGACTTCATCTGAGGGTACTAGGGAACCATGGAAAAATTTAAAGCTGGTGAAAAGCATGACTGAACTTGCCTTTTATCAAGATCTCCCTGGTTTACATGCCCCTCTTCTGGGCTCTGAAAGTATTGACCTGTCTGTGTTGCAATTGTTAACTTCTCCACCTTCACCATGTTGCGAGCACCTTGAGAGAAAAGCTGTAACTTAATCTCTGTATGACTAGCAAATAGTATACTACTAGGGGACATAGTAGGTAGTAGGTATTCAATGGATTTTTTTTTTTAAGACAGAGTCTCACTTTGTCACCCAGACTAGAGTGAAGTCATGTTATCATAGCTCACTGCAACCTCAAACTCCTGGGCTCAAGTGATCCTTCTGCCTTAGCCTCCCAAGTAGCTGGTACAGGCATATGCCACCATGACTGGCTAATTTTTCTACTTTTTGTAGAGACGGGGTCTTGCTCTTGCTTTGGCTCTGGAACTCCTGGCCTCAAAAAAATCCTCCTGCCTCAACCTCTCACAGTGCTAGGATTATAGGTATGAGCCACGCCACCCTCCCCCTAACCTGCAGTGGATTTTATAAATGTACTCAGGACTGAACAATTGGAGGGTGGTATAAGAGAGAGAGATGACTGAGGAGGTTAATACAGCAATGTGGATGGAAATAGTGAAAACCTGAAGGAAAATGTAATGGCAATAGGGATTGAGAGAAGGGACGGAATCTAGAGATATTTATAAAGCGATTAATTAGTTTGTTGAAAGAATTGTTGGAGAGGAAAGTATTAAGGATGACCTCCCCCCCTCAACCCGGTTTCTGAGTTTGGTGACTGCTTGGATACAAAGTTAGGAAAAACAGTAGGAAGCATGGTTTGTTTTGAGAGGGAAAGGGAGATTATTGGTTCTATGAGTTTCGATAGCCTATGGAACATCCAGAAGAGAGACCTACCAGGCTACTACTGGATGGATTATGAGAATTATAGATCCAGATCTCTAACATGGAGACTGTGGGTTGGAAATAATAAGTTTGTGGATGGTCTTTGAAGATGTGAGCGTGGGTGTGGTCTCATAGGGAGAACATACAGAAGAAGACAAGAGCATGGAGGATATAACCATGAGAAATTCTATCATTTGGGAGGTAGACATAGAAAGAGTTGCTCTTGAAGGAAGAGTCGGAGATGTAGGAAGAAAATTGGGAGAGAAAAAATTATTATAGAAATCAGTGTAATGAAAATGTTGTTTACGCTTCACTGCACATACATGTGCTCTTCCGCATTTCCCAGCCTCCTTGGAGAAGGCCGGGTCACGTGACTCATTCTAGCCAATGTGCTCTAAGCAGAAGGGGTATGTGTTTCTTGCCCAAATTCCAGGCTATTTTATTTATTGGAAGTCCAGAAAAAAGAAAAAGAAATGTTTATTGGTCATTACAGCCAGCCTTTTACAAAATAACCTTTAAGATTTAGCAATATTTACAGAGTATTTGTTTTTATTTGACTTCAATTTCTTCATCAACTAATTTTACCTTGTTGAATCTGAAATGCCTAACCCCAGATCGCTTTGGCTCACCTTTGGGTCCACGGGACAGTTCCTGGGCACACCGGCAGGGTCCCACCTCACATGCTTGTGTCTCCCTACTTCTCTTCTGGAGGGGTTGCTCCTGTTTCACCAAAAATTACCAGTCCACTCAGGGCATGATGGAGATGCTGGGGATTTAAGGCTCCCAGAGGCAACCCTTCACTCCTGAGAGATGAGAGTCCATGGACAAATACCACAGCTTCCTCATCTCTCAGCAGGGCAACTCTGGGGTGTGTTCTTCGTGGTCCTTTATAGAGGGTTCCCGGCAGGATTGATCCAGAGTAGATTCTCCTGCTCATTGATGCAACTTTTATTGACTTTTCTCCCTTTCCAGTCTTACTTCTCCACTATTTAACTTGAGTTCCCCGGGATCACCTCCCAATATGCAATTTCCTGTGTCAAAACCTGCTTT